TTCCATATGAACTTGAGGATAGCCTTTTCCATTTCTGCAAAAAAACAAAAGCAAACACAAAAAAACCCCTGGAATTTTAATAGAGATTGCATTGTGGCTGTAAGATTGCTTTGGATAGCATTGCTGTCTTATCAATTTTAAGTCATCTAATTCCTGAATTGTATCCTAGTAAGTTTGGTATGTTGTGTTTTTGGTATTATTTGTGTCAAGGTATTTTCTTTTATCCCTCGTGATTTCTTCTTTGACCCATTGGCTATTTAAGAGTGTGTTGGGCTGGGCATGGGGGCTCACGCCTGTAATCCTAGCACTCGGGGAGGTCAAGGTGGGTGGATCACGAGGTCAGGAGTTCGAGACCAGCCTGGCCAACATGGTGAAACCCTGTCTCTACTAAAAATACAAAAATTATCTGGGTGTGGTGGCGCACGCCTGTAGTCCCAGCTGCTCAGGAGGCTGAGGCAGGAGAATCACCGGAACCCAGGAGGTGGAGGTTGCAATGAGCCGAGATTGTGCCACTGCACTCCAGCCTGGGCAACAGAGCAAGACTCTGTCTCAAAAAAAAAAAAAAAAAAAAAAAAAGTGCTGTTTAATTTCTATATATTTGTTCCTGTTTTCCTTCTGTGAAGTTTCATTCCATGTGGTCAGAGAAGATACTTGGAATGTTTTCAGTCTTTTAAAATTTATTGAGACTTTTTTGTGGTCTAACATATGGTCTATGTTGGAGAATATCTTTGTGGATCTTCTGCCTAGTTGTCGTATTTATTATTGAAAGTAGGGTATTAACTGGTCACAGGGGCTCACGCCTGTAACCCCAGCAATCTGGGAGGCCGAGGTGGGCGGATCACGTGAGGCCAGGAGTTCAAGACCAGCCTGGCCAACATGGTGAAACCCTGTCTCTACTAAAAATACAAAAAAAACCCCACCAAAAATTAGCCACGCGTGGTGGCGGGCACTTGTAATCCCAGCTACTCGGGGGGCTGAGGCAGGAGAAAGGAGAATTGCTTGAACCCGGGAGGTGGAGGTTGCAGTGAGCTGAGACTGCACCTCTGCACTCCAGCCTGGGCAACAAGAGTGAGACCCTGTCTCAAAAAAAAAAGAAAAAAGAAAGAAAGAAATAAAGGAAGTAGGGTATCTAAGACTAGCTGTTTTTGAACTATTTCTCCTTTTAATTCTGTCACCTTTTGCAGGGGGCTCTGTTCTTAGGTGTATATGTATTTCTAAATGTTATATGTTTTTCTGGCCTTTCACTGTTCTTTCTGTCTTTTTTTTTTTTTTTTTTTTTTTCTTTGGAGATGGAGTCTAGGCTCTCTCACCAGGCTGGAGTGCAGTGGCATAATCTCGGCTCACTGCAACCTCCACCTCCTGGGTTCAAGCGATTCTCCTGCCTCAGCCTTCTGAGCAGCTGGGACTATAGGTGCGCGCCACCACCCCCAGCTAATTTTTGTATTTTTAGTAGAGTCGGGGTTTCACCATGTTGGCCAGGATGGTCTTGATCTCTTGACCGCATGACCTGCACACCTCAGCCTCCCAAAGTGCTGGAATTACAGGGTCAGCCACCGCGCCCGTCCTTTTTTTTTTTTTTTTTTTTTTTTAAAGAGATAGGGTCTTGCTCTGTTGCCTAGGCTGGAGTGCAGTGGTGTGATCATAGCTCACTATATTCTTGACCTCCTGGGCTCAAGTGATCCTCCTGCCTCAGCCTCCTGAGTAGCTGGGACTATAGGCACACACCACTGCACCTTGCTAACTTAAATTTTTTTTTTGTTTTTTTGTTTTGTGTTTTTTTGAGACTGCGTTTCACACTGTCTCCCATGCTGGAGTGCAGGGGTGCGATCTTGGCTCACTGCAGCCTCCACATCCCAGGTTCAAACGATTCTCCTGCCTCAGCCTCCTGAATAGCTGGGATTACAGGCATGCGCCACCACACCTGGCTAATTTTTGTATTTTTAGTAGAGGCAGAGTTTCGCCATGTTGGTCAGGCTGGTCTCGAGCTCCTGACATCGTTATCTGCCCACCTCGGCCTCCCAGTCAGCTGTTAATCTTATCAAGTACCCCTTTTACATGATGAACCACTTTCTTTTCCTTTTGAGACCCGGTCTTGTTTTGTCCCCAGACTGAAGTCAGTGGCGTGATCATGGCTCACTGCAGCCTTGACCTCCCAGGCTCAGCTGATCCTCCTTCCTCAGCCTCCTGAGTAGCTGGGACCACAGGTGTGTACCACCACACTCGGATAATTTTTAAATTATTTGTAGAGATGAGGTCTCCTTGTGTTTCCCAGGCTGGTCTCAAACTCCTGGATTTGAGTGACCCTCCTGCCTTGGCCTCCCAAAGTGTTGGGGTTGCAGGCTTGAGCCATGGTGCTTATCCAAGTCACTGCTTTCTTGCGCTTTAAGAGTCTTTTTGTCATTTGACAGTTTGATTACAACATGTCTTGGTGTGGATCTCTTTATTTTTCTTGAAGCTTATTGAGCTTCTTGGGTGTTTAGATTTGTGTCTTATCAAATTTGGGAAGTTTTCCATCATTATGTCTTCAAATATTCTTCCCTTTTCTCCCTTGCCTCTACGACTCCAGTTATATGTATGTTGGTGTGCTTGATGGTTCCATAGGCATCTTAGGCTCTGTTGATTGCCCTTCATTCTTTTTTCTTTCTATTCTTCACACTGGATAAATTCAACTGACCTATCTTCAAGTTGGCTGATTGTTCTGTCAGTTCAAATCTGCCATTGAAATTCTCTAGTGAAGTTTTTTTTTGTTTTGTTTTAGTTATTGTACTTTTCAGCTCCAGAATATCTATTTGATTCTTTTTTATACTTTCTGTCTCTTTGTTGGTTTTCTGTTTGTTGAGACCTTGTTCTCCTGGTTTCTTGTCATTCTTTTTCCTTTTTCTTTTCTTTTTTTTTGAGACAGGGTCTCGCTCTATTGCCCAGGCCGGAGAGCAGTATTGTAATCATGGGTCACTGCAGCCTTGACCTTGCAGGCTCAAGTAATTCTCCCACCTCAGCCTCCCAAGTAGCCTGGGAGAAGTGCCACCATGCCTGGCTAATTTATTTTTATTTCTTGTAGAGAGGGGGTCTCGCTATGTTACCCAGGCTTCTTGTTATTCTTTGTCCATCGTTTCCATTAGCTCATTGAACATATTTAAGACAGTTGATCTAAAATCTTTGTCTAGTAAATCCAATGTCTATTCTTCTCAGTCTCTTTGTTAATTTCTCCTGTGTATGTACCATACTGCTTTTATTTCTTTGCATGTTTTGTAACATTTTGTTGAAAACCGGATGTTTTGAATATTATCATGTGGTGACTCCGGAAATCAGACCCTTCCTTCTGAGTTTTTGTTGTTTGCTGTGAGTTGTTTGCTGAGTTTTTGTTGTAGTTGTTTAGTGACTATTCTAAACTCTTTCTAAATTCTGTGTTCTTTGTTGTGTTTGTTCTCTAAAGTCTCTTTCTTAGCCTGGTTCAGCTGATGCTTTTTTGTTTGTTTGCTTTTTGTTTTTTTGAGATGGAGTCTCGCTCTGTCATCTAGGCCGGGGTGCAGTGGCGTGATCTCAGCTCACTGCAACCTCCGCCTCTCGGGTTCAAGCAGTTCTCCTGCCTCAGCCTCCTGAGTAGCTGGGACTACAGGCGTGTGCCACCACACCCGGCTAATTTTTGTATTTTTAGTAGAGGCGGGGTTTCGCCATGTTAGCCAGGCTGCTCTTGAACTCTTGACCTCAGGTGATCCACCGGCCTCAGCCTCCCAAAGTGCTGGGATTGCAGGTGTAAGCCACCACGCCTGGTGCTTTGTTTTTTTGTTTTTTAGAGATGGGGTCTCACTCGGTTGCTCAGGCTATAGTGCAGGGGTATCAAAACTCACTGTAGCCTTGAACTCCTTTGCACGAGTGATCCTCCCACCTGAGTCACTGGGATTACAGGCTGAGCCACCACTAGTATTTTGCCAGACTTTTTTGAATACCTAGAGCCTCCCTCCACCATCCCCCAAAAAAGAGTAGAAAGAAAGGAGGACAACCACCTTCTTCCAGTCTATGCAGAATGGCTGTGTTGGGGGCACTATCATTGCTTAGCCCTGCTGTTTACAACTCTACTCTAGCCTCATTTCCTGCTTGTGCTGAGACTACAGTTCAGCTAGAGGGTCTTTCAGATCTTTTCTGAGCATGCTTCCTGCCCTGGGCATATATGCGTGACTTTCTAAATTCCTAACCGTAGTGTAAGTGGACATTGTTGAATGCCCTAATTTCTAAAAGAAACTTCCTCCCAGCTTTTCCTCTCAGGCTGTTGGTGTGTCTGTTTGCCTCAGCTGAAATCTTTTGCCCAAGGTGGCTGCAGATTGTTATTTGCCTTACAAGGTTTTTGAGCAATACCCTCTGAGGAGACATCTCTCTGACCTGTTCCACGTTAGGGAAAACAAAGACCGACACCTTGTGTCAGTCCTTCAGGTCACCCGCAAGCTCAAAACAGGCAAGTGCAATTCTTTCAGAATTTCTCCCTCTGGAAGCAGGGACTGAGGGAGTAGGTTCCCAGACTGGGAATGCAGGCTGCTGTCTTCAAGGCTGCCACTGGGGAAGGGAAAGAGAGAGGGCAGGTCAACATGCTGCAAAGCTTTTCCACTGTTTCAACTTGCTTTCTTATTGATTCAATTTGCTGAGTTGCTATAAATGTATTTTCTGGTTTGTGACAAAGCCGATTCTGACAGTTTTTGCTTGATTTTTCAGTCATCTGTGAAGGGATGGGCCGTTGGAGTTACCTGCTTCACCATTTTTACTGATGTCCCTTAAGAAAGACTTTTGCTTTGTTTTTAGAGACAAAACGAAAATGTTTTGTGCTATGTTGCTTTGAACCCTGGCCTCAAGCGATGCTCCTACCTCAGCCTCCTAAATAGCTGGGACTATTAAGTGTGTGCTTCTGCGCCCAGCTCCCAAGAAAGATTTTTAAAAGTTATATTATGATATGTTGCTTTAATAAGTAGAGTTAAAGAAATTGTATTAATGTTTATAAAAATTATCAACAGGATGGAATCCGACGTGGTAGGCCCAGAGCAGATACTGTCCGTGATTTAATAAATGAAGGAGAGCATTCATCCAGCAGAATCCGTTGTAACATCTGTAATAGGGTGTTTCCACGGGAGAAATCACTCCAGGCTCACAAAAGGACTCATACAGGTAAGTTGAGCAAATTTTATAGAGACTGTCAGAAGTAACACTTTTTTTTTTTTTTTTTTTGAGACAGAGTCTCGCTCTGTCTCCCAAGCTGGAGTGCAGTGGCGCCATCTTGGCTCACTGCAAGCTCTGCCTCCTGGGTTCAAGTGATTCTCCCGCCTCAGCCTCCTGAGTGAGTAGCTGGGATTACAGGTACGTACCACCATGCCTGGCTAATTTTTGTATTTTTACTAGAGACAGGATTTCACCATATTGGTCAAGCTGGTCTCGAACTCCTCACCTTGTGATCTGCCTGCCTCAGCCTCCCAAAGTGCTGGATGTGAACCACCGCGCCCGGCCAGAAGTAACACTTAGCTGAAAGCTCATTTGATACTGAGTAATAAATTACCTTTTTAGTTGCCTTATATTTTCTTACATTAACACTATTAGTTGTGAAGTTTTTTAAAAAGGCAGTGTAGTCAGTTTCTTTTTGGTGGAGAATAGTGGTTTTATGAATACTGGTTACGTGTGATTTCTAAAGTTATCATGGTAATTAACCTAGATGTCATAGTCATGTTATTGGCAAATTTAGTTTTACCCCCTACCTGCCTGAATTTTACTTGATATACTTTTATCTATATAATTGTTAAAATTCATCTGTACGCCAAAAACTGTAATTGTCAAGTTTTTAATATAATTTTTAGAGTCCTCAGTGTGCTATCAGTACATCCGACCTAAGCATTAAATCTGTGGTGAACTATGGTAGGCAGCTATCCCAAGATTATGGTATATCTGTATTTGCATATGGAAATTATATTTGCATTTAAATATCATTTAGAGGGCCAAAAAAAAAAAAAAGTATAGAGGTCCCTTGTTCTCGCTATAAAGTTGGCCCCAAAGGAAGGAATCTTATAGTTCATCTAATAGTTTGCAGGTGAGGAAACTGAGGTGCCAAAAATCCAACTACTGCTGGCTTACAATCAGTCTCTCATACCTCTAAGGCTAGAGCCACACCGCCCCGAACAGCAGCTACTGTGACTCCTGAGCACTTGAAATGTGTGTAGTCTAAATTGAGATGGGCAGTAAATATAACATACACTTAATATGAAAAAAAGAGTGAATAATTTTTACTGTTGAATATGTATTGAAATGACACTTAGATAAATTGGATTAAATAAAATATATTATTAAAATTAATTTTACAGCGGGGTGGGTGGCTTATGCCTGTAATCCCAGCACTTTGGGAGGCCGAGGCGGGCAGATCACCTGAGGTCAGGCGTTCAAGACCAGCCTTGCCAACATGAAGAAACCTCATCCCTACTAAAAATACAAAATTAGCCGGGCGTGGTGGCAAATGCCTGTAATCCCAGCTACTCAGGAAGCTGAGGCAGGAGAATCGCTTGAACCCGGAAGGCGGAGGTTGCGGTGAGCCGAGATCGTGCCATTGCACTCCAGCCTGGGTAACAAGAGCGAAACTCAATCTCAAAAAAAATAAATAAATAAATTATTTTCACCTCTTTCTCTTTACTTTTTCTAATGTACCTTCGAGAAGTGGTTCATACTGTCTTTCATTGGGCAGTACTGGTTTAGAACTTAAGCTCGTAACCCTCAGTCCCCTATTTTTTTCCACCATGTTTACGGTGCTCACCTGTTTCTCACTTTTTTTTAACTTGCGGTTTTTGAAAATATATATTTAAATGATACGATAGAAAAGAGGTTCTTTTAAGTTAAATCCCTGGAAAGGGGTAATGTTTGAATTTTGAATCATTGTAAACTAAGGTGTCTAGAAGTTTTGACTTTAGATACCATTAGTAAAATGATTACTTAATGAAACATTCTAATTTTGAGAATTTTTATGTATTTTTTTCAGTCTGAATATTCTAAAATATCCCCCGGATAACTGGTTTGCAGGCCGTAGAGTTGCCAGTGGGGGTAAGATTCAACACTATGTGGGAGAATGAAGAAAGGGCTGACTGCCGTCCTGATCACCACTACCTCACTGTGTCACCCGATACCCCAGGCATCAGCCTAGACATCTGTACATCAGGGAACTGAAAGGAGGATCCCTAAGGGGTAGTTGAGCCCTATTAGTATATTTTGTAAAAAGCTTTTCCGTTACTATTTTAAACAATCTCCCTATATCTGTGTTTTATTTTAACTTGTATTCAACTATCACAACCACTTAGTATGTCTCTAAGTAATGAGAAATTTAGGGAGAACTTGTTATTGTTCTTTGAGTTATATTGGAAAATGCAAACCAATGTATAATTGTTGATTAAATAATGTTTTTTTCAATAAATAATGTTTAATTATCATTGAACAAATTTTTCAGCACTTGAGCCTAGCACTGTGTTGTGTATAGGAATTTAAGTGAAGTATAAGGTGCTAGGAATCTTTGCAGGAGACTGCCATGACACATAAACAACACAGGACCCCAAGTTAATGAAGGTATACAAAGTTCAATTATTTGGAGGTAGATAGGAAGAATTCAGTTATTTGGGGAGATAGGAAGAATCTTATTGAGAGCCTACAGGATTGGGAAGATTGGAATGGGCAGAGAAACTTGGATTTTCAAGGATGAGAACAAGATGAGGAACTGCCTCCTGGCTGGAATGATTCTCCAGGAGGGAAGTAAGGATCAACTCTGCCCCTTAACCCCAGTAGCTAATGACATTGCTGAGATTGCCTAGAGCGCCGATCTTAGAGGACCATTTAAAAGTCAGCAGATAATTTTTATTTGTTCAAGGTGTGTAATAGGATTTGTGGGTGGTTCAGGGGCTACTTGGTATGACAAAAGCAGACTTCTATGCCAGCTACTCTGGGAGTGCTGTGCAGGGGGAGAAACGAGAGGCCGGCCAGGAGGCTGTCGGAGGGTTCATCCTAGCGGGAGGGCTGCCTGTCTGACCAGGGGAAGCTGAATGGGAAGGCAGGGGTGGGTGGAAGACATAGTGAAGAACCAGCAAGATCTAGTGATTTGGAGTATGAGGGAGAAAAAGTCTGGGATAAACTCAAGATGATAACCTCAAGGCCTAAAGAATAGATTGTGTTCCCCAGCAGATAAGGCGCTTGATGCCACCCAAGTGCTGCCATTAGCATTTCCACCTGCAGCTCCACAGGGACCGTGACATGTTTTATTGTGATTGGGAGTCAAGACCTACATAAAGGCTGATTCTCTCCCATCCCCCTGCTCTTCTGGCCTTATTATCTCAGATACCATATCTAACATCTGTCTCCTTAGGTGAGAGGCCCTATCTGTGTGACTATCCAGACTGTGGAAAAGCCTTTGTTCAAAGTGGACAGCTCAAGACACATCAGCGTCTCCACACCGGAGAGAAGCCGTTCGTCTGTTCAGAAAATGGTATGGTGTTCGAAGTTAAGTTTATGGAGTAACTAGTTGTGACGTAACAGTCAAAATATCTTTTCCTTGAATTTTTTTGAGGGGAAAGATTTTTTAATATAAATTTTATAAAACTTTATAAGCTTTCTTCTTTGATAATTGCGATACGTGCTGAATTTCCCAGAAATGACTGATTTTAAAAATGTGTTGGTTTTGATTTTTGTGAGTACATAGTAGGTATACATATTTATGGGGTATATGAGATACTTGATACAGACACGCAGTGCTGAATACTGACATGGTAAATGGGCTATCCACCCCCTCAAGCATGGGTCCTTTGTGTTACAAATCATCCCGTTATACTCTTAAGTTATTTTAGAATGTACAGTTAAATTATTGACTATAGTCACCTTGTGCTATAAAATACTAGGTCTTATCCGTTCTTTCTATTTTTGGTACCTATTAACCATCTCTACCTTCCCTTCATCCCGCAGCTCCCCTTCCCAGCCTCTGGTAACCATTGTTCTGCTCTCTGTCTCCATGAGTTCAATTGTTTTGATATTTAGATCCTACAAATAAGCGAGAACAAGTGATGTTTGTCTTTCTGTGCCTGGCTTAAGAAATGATTGATTTTAAAATACAGTAATCCTTTTTGATGAAACCTTAAAGGGCAATTAAACATACTATATCCAGTTGTAGGCAGTAGACAAATCTGTAAAAGTGAATACAGCCTTTGGAGCAACATTTTAAACTTTTTAATTATTAAACTGAAGTAAGCATATTATCCTAAGTGATTTTCTTAATCTTTTATCAGTTTCTAAAGCTGCACATTTGTTTGCAGTTACAGTATATTTGAAGTTCAGTGCAGTCTGTCCTGTTGTTCTGTAATTTTCTTGATTATTACACGTGTTGCAAAGGTCTGCAAACTTTTCATCTAGCAAGTTTGCTTAAGCCTATACACAATGGTTTCCTCTATGTTGAATAATGAATATTTATTTATTTTTTGAGGCAGAGTTTTGCTCTTGTTGCCCAGGCTGGAGTGCAATGGCGCCATCTCAGCTCACTGCAACCTCCACCTCCCGGGTTCAAGCGATTTTCCTGCCTCAGCCTCCCGAGTAGCTGAGATTAGAGGCATGCGCCACCATGCCCAGTTAATTTTGTAGTTTTATCAGAGAGAGGGTTTCTCCATGTTGGTCAGGCTGGTCTTGAACTCCCGACTGCAGGTGATCTGCCTGCCTTGGCCTCCCAAAGTGCTGGGATTACAGACATGAGCCACTGCGCCCGGCATTTATTTATTTATTTATTTATTTATTTATTTATTTTTATTGTTTTGAGACGGACTCTCACTTTTCGCCCAGGCTAGAGTGCAGTGGCACGATCTCAGCTCACTGCAACCTCTGCTTCCCAAGGTCAAACAATTCTCCTGCCTCAGCCTCTGGAGTAGCTGGGATTACAGGCGTGTGCCACCATGTCCGGCTAATTTTTGTATTTTTAGTAGAGATGGGGGACCATGTTGGCCAGGCTGGTTTTGAACTGCTGACCTCAGGTGATCCACCCGCCTCGGCCTCCCAAAGTGCTGGGATTACAGGCATGAGCCACTGTACCTGGCCTGAATATTTGTTTTTTAAATGTTCTTGTTACCAACAAAGCTGACAGGAATGTTTTCACACTTGTAGCTTTGTTCATCTTTTGGGATGCTTCGTTATGATAGATTCCACAAATGGAATTCCCAGGTCCGAGGTTTTGAACTCCACCCCACCCCCGCGACGGAGTCTTGCTCTGTCACCCAGGCTGGAGTGCAGTGGTTGATCTCCGTTCACTGCAGCCTCCACCTCCCAGGTTGAAGCCATTCTCCTGCCTCAGCCTCCTGAGTAGCTGGGACTACAGGCAGAGGCCACCACGCCCGGCTAATTTTTGTATTTTTAGTAGAGATGGCGTTTTGCCATGTTGGCCAGGCTGGTGTCTTAACTCCCGACCTCGTGATCCGCCTGCCTCGGCCTGCTAAAGTGCTGGGATTACAGGCTTGAGCTGCTACGCTCCCCCCCCCCACATTTTCAACATTTTGAACTCATGCTGATAAATCACTTTCCAATGGTGTTGGACACACATGGCCATGACCGAAATGTGCCTGTCTTCCCGTCCCCGCTCTAGCATGAGACTGCGCTGGTTTGATTGTTTTCTCCTGCAAATTATAAATCCTAAATTTCACTGTAGTAATTTACTTTTCTGGATACCAGTGAAACTGAATGTTTTCCACATGTTTGTGTGCTGGATGTCCAGATCCTGACAGGTGTTAACCTTGTGTTTTGAAGGCTGCCTGAGCAGATTCACCCATGCAAACCGCCACTGTCCGAAGCACCCCTACGCCAGGCTGAAGAGAGAGGAGCCCACGGACACACTCAGCAAACATCAGGCTGCCGACAACAAGGCCGCGGCCGAGTGGCTGGCGAGGTCAGGAATGCTGCCTTTAGTCCACCGTGAAGAAGCGCAGCGCGGGCTTGGGCTGCGTTAGGGACTTGGACACTCTCTCATTTTAAATAAGCTGCATTTATACACACTTTATAACATAATTAGAAATGACCCCTGATTTTCTATAAAATTGTTATGAATGGTATTAGGATCTTAGGATCTGTGTGTGATAGAAAATTACAATATAATTGGAGTGCCCAGACCACAGTTTATTTTAAAAGGAAGAGTTTTCCCATTTTGAAAGAATGTTTTATGTGTATTGTATTTCATTTGTCATGAATGCAACCCCTCTTCATTTTCTTTATGTTAGCGTTAGCTATGTGCCAATTAAAATAGGGATAGACTGCCAAGGAGGGTGGATCACCTGAGGTCAGGAGTTTGAGAACAGTCTGGCTAACTTAGTGAAACCCCATCTTTACTAAAAATACAAAAATTACCTGGGCAGTAGTGGTGCGCGCCTGTAATCCCAGCTACTCAGGAGACTGAGGCAGGAGAATCGCTTGAGCCTGGGAGGCGGAGATTGCAGTGAGCCGAAATGGCCCCACTGCACTCCTGTACTCCAGCCTGGGTGACAGAGTGAGCCCCTGTCTCAAAAAACAAAAACAAAAACAAAAAACCAGGAATAGATGTTAGTGGTTCTTCTTAGGTGAAGTTCCAAAAACACCAATTTAATTTTTTCCAGTGGCAACAAGGGGGCCAGTATAAAAGAATTTCTCTAAGGATATTTTGGTTGAAGGACCTGTCTGCCGTACACAAGCCAGCAGCAGCTGCTCAGGCCTCTTCCAAGCCTTCACTGGCTGCTTAGGGTAAAGTCCAGGATTCCTAGCTGTGCTGCCGCAGCCCTGCCTCCCTCTGATAAGGCAACTGTCCCCTGCCATGCTGGGCTGCGGGTTTCTCAACACAGGTGCCTTTGTGTCAGGGCCTGTGTGCGCCCTGCTTCCTCTGCCTGCAGCACTTGCTCCCCACTTGGCTTAGCCTCTTGCTCACCTTCATCTCTTACTCAGGAAGGCCTCCCTGACCCGCTCAGCAACAAACGGGCTGAGACCCACTTAACAGATGCTTTCATTTTCCTTTTCAAAACATCCATCACACATTTATATGTTTGTTATATACCTTCCCTGCCAGACGGAAAGCTTCCTGGGGCAGGGATATTTATATTTGTCTTGTTTATTAGGGTAAGCCTAGGGCCTAGCATAGCTTCTGGGCCTTGATAAATATTTGAAGGAATAAACTCTGTTTTGTTTGGATAAAAATACGTGAGAATTAGATAATGGAATCTGGAAATACTACTTGATTATGCAAGTCCAGGGAAATTTGTTAGCACTGTCATAGAAATTGTCTGTTTAGATGGGCTATTCTAGGGGCATCTTAAACTAAATATCTCCATCACTTCCTCCCCTCCTCTTTCTCCTGGTTGGCTCCTACTGCCCCATTATTTCTAATTGTGCCCCAGCCAGAAGCTTACTGATCATCCTTGTCTTTTTTTTTTTTTTTTTTCCTGAGACAGAGTCTTACTCTGTTGTCAAGGCTGAACTGTAGTAGCAGGATTGAGCCTCGACCTCCTAGGCTCAAGTGATCTCACTTCAGCCCCCTGAGTAGCTGGGACCACAGGTGTGTGCCACTACACCCAGCTAATTTTTAAGTTTTTTGTAGAGACAGGGTCTTGCCATGTTGCCCACGCTGGTCTCAAACTCCTGGCCTCAAGTGATTCAGCTGCCTTGACCTCCCAAAGTGTTGGGATTACAGACATGAGCCACCACACCTCGCCTCCTTGTCTTTCTCCTGTCTACTCAGTGATCAAGTTATGACATCTACCTCCTTACTAACTCAAATTCAGCGACTTGAATGCTCTCAATCCATTTTCCATGCTGCTGCCAGAGGGATCTTTCTAAAATGTCAGTATGATCCTCAGTCTAAAGCCTAAACCCTTTATTATGGAATTCAAAGTCCTTCATTACCTGGTTCCTCCTGACTTACTGAACTTATCTTTTGCATTCTCCTTTTCTAGTCATCCTTCAAGTCATGCTAAACAATTTGCACTTCTTTTTTTAGACCTCTGTGGGCACTGCCAAAACTTTTCCACTTTGAGTAGTCTGGATTTCCTGAAATTTGGTAGTTGTATTATTATTTTTTGTATGTCATTTTAAAAACAGCTTTGTTGGGGCTGGGTGTGGTGGCTTACGCCTGTATTCCCAGCACTTTGGCCGAGGTGGGTGGATCACCTGAGGTCAGGAGTTCAAGATCAGCCTGGCTAAATAGCAAGACCCTATCTCTACTAAAAATACAGGCCAGGCATGGTGGCTCATGCCTGTAATCCCAGCCCTTGTAAAACTCACCTGAGGTCGGGAGTTTGCGACCAGCCTGGCCAACATGGTAAAACCCTGTCATTGCACTCTAGCCTGGGCAAGAAGAGTGAAACTCTGAAAAAAAAAAAAAAAAAAAAAAAATTAGCCAGGCATGGTGGTGGGCGCCTGTAATTCCAGCTACTCAGGAGGCTAAGGCACAAGAAGAGCTTGAACCCAGAAGGCAGAGATTGCAGTGAGCCGAGATTGTTCCACTGCTCTCCAGCCTGGGTGACAAAAGTCAGACTCTGTCTCAAAAAATAAAATAAAAGTAAATAAATAAAAACAGCTTTGTTGGTATATAAGTAACATATAAGAAATTATGATACATTTAAAGTGTATAATTTGATACATTTTGACATGTATATACTGTGAAACCATCTCCACAATCAAGATGGTGAACATATCCATCATTTCCAAGTTTCCTCGTGCCCCTCTGTGAACTGAACCACACATTCCTCCCTGTCCCCCTTCCCCCCATACAACACTGATCTGCTGTCACTATAAAATAGTACTTTTATACAAATGTAGTTTGTTTATTCACTCGTTGATGGGCATTTGGGTTATTTTTAGCTATTACATATAAAGCTACTACAGACATTAATATACAAGGCTTTGTATGGACAGTTTTGTATGATCTGTTACTATCATTTAAATATGCATTTCTTTTTCTTTTTCTTTTTTTTTTTTTTTGAGACGGAGTCTCGCCCTGTCACCCTGGATGGAGTGCAGCAGCCCAACTTCGGCTTGCTGCAACCTCCGCCTCCCGGGTTCAAGTGATTCTCCTGCCTCAGCCTCTGGAGTATCTGGGATTACAGGTGCCTGCCACCACGCCCGGCTAATTTTTTTTGTATTTTTAGTAGAGAGGGGGTTTCGCCATGTTAGCCAGGCTGGTTTTGAACTCTTGATCTCAAGTGATCTGCCCACCTCAGCCTCCCAATGTGCTAAGATGACAGGCGTGAGCCACTGCGCCAGGCCTAAATATGCATTTCTTTAGTTACCAAAGAGTTGAGCATTTGCATTTTCTCTTGTAAATCATCAGCTGGCCATGTAATAGAATAAGGGCAGTGTTTTTAAGTTTTCGAATAAACACTGTGTCACAGATGTTAATCACTTTGTCATAGTTTGTGGGTTGAATATTTTACAGCGTTAACGCTATCAGAAGTTGCCATCCCTCTGTAGATAGGATAAATAAGTTTCTAAAGACTTTTTTTCTACTATTTCTGTATTTTACTCTAGTCCGTTTCAGACAGGCTTTTTAAGGCAGCGATAGTTTAATGGCAAAAACTATGTGATTTGAGAGTGAGTAAAAGATCTAGAACTGCCAGCTTTATTATGGAAACCCGAGCATGTCTCTTAACCTCGTTGAACTTCAGTTTCTTCCCTCTATAAATAAGAAATGTATGTTAAATCACTTTATAACTTTATAAACTGAACCACATAAAAGTAATACTGTGGTTCGGAACTTTTTAAAAGAAAAGTAAACATTTGGAAATTTCATGTCTGCCACGTAACTAATGTGGATGCATTTCACATAGGTATTGGGAAATGAGAGAACAGCGCACCCCCACCTTGAAAGGCAAGCTGGTTCAGAAGGCTGATCAGGAGCAGCAGGACCCTCTGGAATACCTTCAGTCTGATGAGGAGGATGACGAGAAGAGAGGGGCCCAGCGCCGGCTGCAGGAGCAGCGGGAGCGCCTGCACGGAGCCCTCGCGCTCATAGAGCTTGCCAACCTGACTGGGGCACCACTCCGACAGTAGCCTGGACACTGACTCTTCCACTGTACAAAAGTACTGCCCAGCGTACTTAAAAAGTAGATCCTTGGGCATAAGCTAAGCACCTTATTTGCTTATCATAGGCTGCTATTCTGTAGAAATGTATGAAGAATGTTATTGCCCCAGAATATGGGGTGAGAGAGAAATGCACTTTTTTTATATGGAAATGAATTTGTTGTAAAGTTTAAAATATTTTGTAAATATGGATTGCACAGTACAGGGTAGAAAACTACATATTGTGGGAAGCTAGATTTTGCAAGTTTAATGCATTCATTGGAAGCAGTTCTCACAGGAAGCACTTTCTGAATAAGACACTTGTTTGAAAAACGGAATGGTACAAATAGCCAAAGAAAGTTGAAACAGATTATTTATAAGATCATTTTTAACAATATATATTAGTATGTTTAACAATACTGTAAACACTGAAGCAAGCAAGAAAGTATAAAATATGTAAGATAGATAATTTTAATTGCAAAATACTGTGCCCAGTAAGGCTAGAGAAATGGGGGGCTGACTATTTTGGAAGATGTTCTAAGTAATGGACTTAGAAGAAAATAGGTATTTGAGGATCTTGGTAAGATGCACAATAGGTCAGAGTTTTTGAAATTGGAGCAAAATCAGTCTTATTCTATCTTTCTGGGGCTTTACAACTCAGTATAATGTTTAAGTTTGAAAAGCACTTGTCATCCCTAGCATGATAACTTGGGAACTTTTGCACATTTCATATTTCTCATTTGCTGAAATTGAGTGATTAATCTTGCAAAGTCTAGGTAACATAGTAATTGGTAATTTTAAAAATACCTATTAAGGGCCCTGTAATGAGATTTGGCACTTGGATTTTTACTAAAGGGACACCTACAGGGTTGTTTTGTAGTGAAATGTTTTAGATCTTTTATTAGCAAACACTACATTTTAATTTTACTGCTTGTTTAGAATTATTAGCAAATGGAAGCCTCCATATTTATATTTTCAGTGCATAAAGCCACCTTCTTGCTTTACTTCAGAGTAACATGCCAGGCTATTTTGTGTTCACTAAATTTAGCTATCAGTTAAACACTGCAGAAAATATTAGCAACTCAAATAAGTAGGCTTCTGAAATAGTTTTAACTGCAAGTGTGTTAACTTGTGTGGTGGTTTTAAGCCGTTTTTCCAAATAAAGTTATTAAACACCACTTTATGTACTGAAGCATGAACAGAAAAATCAAGAGCTGAGCAGAACACCTCGTTTATGTAGGCAAAACTTCCATCATTTTGGCTTTTGTTCTAAACAGAACTAAATGACATGCATAGCATGGTAATTTACAGATTGCTTAATTGGAGTAAAACTCAGAGTAATAGAGGGAAATACAGGCTCTTCAGTGCCTTTTTAGCTTTTTTGAGTTGAAGGGGTTCCTACAGATGTAGTTTAAACATTAGAAAGTAGGCTTCTTTATCCAAAAATCCCGATGTGTCATAGTACACAGATAGTTTAAAATATGTAGCCACGGGGAAGGGGAGGCATGTAAATGTCTTGAAGAGGAGAAAAAGTATGAAAGAAGATACGATAGTTACAAATAATGTGTATGACGAGGACATACTTTAAAAATGTAATTCCTCTGTACAGTAAATTGCAAATCTTTAGGGATTTTTTTGTAATAAGAGAATTTATATTTGTAATGGTCTAAGAATTTTGTTTGTAATGTGGTATATAGAATTTTAATTTGGAGCACTTACAAGCTGGTAAGAGAGACTATAGCATCTGAATTATCTTGGTTTATGTTTCAGCATTTTGTCTAGAATGTTTGCTCTCAAATATGTGATTTAATGAACTAAAAACAACACTTATCAGTCTTGGGAAATTTGAACTTTGATCAACTTAACTAAAGAAGGAAGGGTAGTAAGAATTTTTCAAATACAAATATTTGCCAGTTCACAGATGATAACATTTAAAGCCTTCAAAAGAAAGGGTTTTCCTTGTTTCTCCAGTCAGCTTTTGTCAACTCTAATAGTTTTTTCATAAACATTTTTTATTTGTATAATTGCAACAGTTTAAGAAATTATTACACCTATTTACCATAGAAACATTTAAAATGTTCTTTTTTGATATAAGCTATATTCTTGGGAAAATACATTGGTATCTAAAATTTGAGGTGTGTTAAGACTGCTTTTTGTTTTAAAAAATGTGGTTTACATTCAAATTTTTGAAGTGTTTTATGCTTCATATGGCTGAGTTGTAGTTTGGCAGAGTTAACAGCATAAGAATAAACATGCTGTAATTTTAAAAGATGCTTTGAATAAAAATTTATTTTAATTTAAAATTTAAAGTACGCAGTCATTCTTAAAGCCTTTATAATTTGTTTTCCTATCAAAAATATAATAACCATGATATAAAAAATTTTAAAAGACAGAAACATTACCTACAGCCTTATATTCAGCCATCAGTATTATTTCAGTACATATTTGCGTAGTTGTAAGTACAGTGTGGATTGCTTTTTCTTACTTAAATTATGGCCTTTAAGGTTATGGATATTTAACTTCCTCATCTGGTTCATTACTACAGTGTTAAAAATATACTGCTGTGGATAGGTATTGAACTCTTGCCACCCCATTCCCAGGCCTTAAATTAGGGTAATAAGGAACTGGGATTTCATTTCACTTACATTTAGGATGGGTTGACTCTGGGCTCACCTCCTCAAGAATCCACTTAAAGCCTGTGTACTTATCTAAGAGTATAGCAAATTGGCTTTCTTTTTTCATCAGTTATTTCTGGTAGATCTTTAGTTGTGTGTTTGCAATGGCAAGGGTCAGCCTGTCCTACCCTTGTGCAGAAGAATATCGCAAGCAACTCCTTAGCGTGAGTTGCTATTTAAACAGGGTAAGGATGGGATTTTGACAGCGAGTTAAGGTCCTGGAAGTATGTATATACAAGCAAACTAAATGCAAGTATGATGAAGGCTGTCATTAAGTGACTTCAAAGTATTCTTTTTGCAGTCAAAATATTTGGAGACTCACAAGAAAACTGAATGTTCTGAGGAAATTAACCAAAATGATTTCCTGTTCAAGTTGAATATGGATTCATTTTCTCTTTTAAAACGGACTTAACATGTTTTTCTTTCTTGTTTTGGGTAACTTGGGCTCTTCTGGTCTTTTTAATGCTAGCTAATTTTCACGAGTTCTGCTTTAGTTCTTATCAGGGCTGAATATGTTTCCCAGTTTTCATTCTCCTGGTTGTTTAGTGCCTAAGAGTAGAAAAACAATGCTCTGCGCATCTATATAGTTGGGCCCCAACTTTTATTTAACTTGAAATCTTCAGTTTTTCTAAGAAGCTAAAAGTTCATATATATA